GTCGGTGCGCACCCGGGATCCGAACCCGGGCTGCCAGTAGCGGAGCGCACGCACTTAACCACTAAGCCACGGGGCCGGCCCAGTAATACTTCTTTAATATCATTAAATTTCCAATAATTATTCAAATTTCCAATTGTCTCATAAATATTAGAATTAAAAAAAAACTGTTTGGGGGCCGGCCCGGTGGTGCAAGCGGTTAAGTGCACGCGCTCCGCTGCGGCGGCCCAGGGTTCGCCGGTTCGGATCCTGGGCGTGAACCGACGCACCGCCTGTCGGGCCATGCTGTGGCAGCATCCCATGTAAAGTGGAGGAAGATGGGCATGGATGTTAGCCCAGGGCCAGTCTTCCTCAGCAAAAAAAAGAGGAGGATTGGCATATGTTAGCTCAGGGCTGATCCTCCTCACAAAAAAGAAAAAAAAAAAACTGTTTGAATGAGGGTTTAAATAAAGTCCATGCATTCCAATTGGTTGATATACGTCTTATGTATCTTTTAATCTAGAGACTTCTCTCTCCATCTTTTCTTTCCCCCTGCCAGTATGTTTGTTGAAAAAACTAGATTATGAGTCCTGTAGAGTTTCTACAGTCTGGATTTTGCTGACTGCAGCCCTGTAGTTAGTTTCACATGTTCCTCTGTCCTCTGTATTTCCTATAAATTGGTAGTTAGATCTGGTGGCTGAATCAGATTCAGGACTGATTTTTTTGGCATGACATCTCCATAGGTGGTGGTGTGTCCCTCCAGCAGAGGCAGGGAACGTCTGGGTGCCTCTCTGGTTGTGGTGGTAGCAGCCCTTGGTCATAACTGCCTGCATCAGTTTGTTCACCTGGGGTTGCAAGCTGATGACCTGTATTGGTTTTCATTCTTCCACCGCTCCTGCTGTGACAGTAGGAAGGAAGCTCATATGTTTCAAACCGCCTCTGTTTCTCCTCGATTCTCCGATCAAATCTGATTTTGGGAACCAGAGTTTCAGGCAGAACCCACTTTGATCGCCTGCTCAGACTTTGGATATGCCTTAATTTCATCAAACTGTTTCTCTGTTTCCACCTACCAGGTTGGCATATCAACGTTATAATAGGCTCTTGTTCCTTTTTTGTTTGGTTATTAGTAAAATCTATCACCTGTCAGTGGGTGAAGCCACCTTATTGAAAGACATGGTCAAAGCTTATGTGATTAATAAATCCAGGAGACACATGGAGGGTGGTGCCCTCAAGAGCGTGTGAACCAGCCACGTGAATTCCAGAAGCTTCTTCCCTCAGTACCCAAAGCCATTAAAACCAACAATTCCTTCAAAAATAGTAATAAAATTTGGGGAGGCCGATCAGGCAGAACTACCTGGGCCCAGCAGCAATTATTTAAAGTCAGACTCTCTGTGATGCAGTCGACAACCCCAGCCTGCAGACGTGGCTGAAAGCTACGGTAAAATCAGCAACGATTGTTATCAAAACTCTGCCTCTTAGAGGTGAAACTTCACTGGAACCAAAAGACGATCATTTATGATCTAATCACAGCCGAGACCCAGACCTGATCATTACCCATAATTGATCATGTCTCCTCCATAATCCAATTTCAAGGTACGTCTTAGCCAGTGGTGGATTCACCGTGAAGCTAATGAACCTCAAACTTTGGACCCCTCGTCTGCCTAGGCTCTCTCCAAGGCCCTGGGTGGGAGCCTACTGATTTTGTGTTTATAATTTTCTAATCTTTTCTTTATATTATATAAACGTCAGGCTCCCCAAGCCTGGATCCACCTTGTCCCCAGCCTTTCAACTCATTCCCTCTAGTGCCTCAATTCCAACAAGGCCTTGACCCACCAGGCCCTCCAAATCCAGGATCCTACAGCCTCCTCCCTGCACCCCCCACCCGTATTTTCACTTCCCTCCAACCCACTTTAGATTCCACTGTCCACCACTATAGCCACATTCTAACATACTCCATGCCCTTGCCCCTCTCTCTGTGTCGTACACCCTATTGGCAAAATCCCAGACCTAGTTAAATCCAGCCTTCCGGTCTACTGCTGACTGGTGTTGCTGTTCAGCCATGTGGGTCCTTGGGCTGCCACTGGGAGAGCCTGCTTGACAGCTGAGCCGAAGGAGCAAAGCAGAGATGAGTGATCATCCTCGCGACCACCATTTCCCTTCCCAGCCGTCCTAGCTAAAATCTCAGGACTGACTCTCATTGGACATTTAACTATGACAGGCAGGGCTGAGATACTCTGATTGGCCAGGTGGGGGTCACAGACCCACCCCTGGAACTGAGCTGGGGTGGGGTAAGCTCCATCCAGTCCCATGGACTGCAGGTGGGGGAGAGGTGCTTCTGGTTTTAAAGAGAAGGTTTTGTATTATTCAGGAGATGACAGCCCCTGAAAAGATGGTTTTATACCCGCAGATCCCAAGAGGAGGGGGCATGCCATGGGGGAGCCACATGGGGAGGACTGTGGTTGGCCAGGGTGAGGGGGTGGGGAATCGTGGACAGGAGCCTTTACTGTGGTTTGTGTGAGAAGGAACGGGGAGACAGGGTAAGCAGCCCTTGGACAGGCTAGTTTGAATAATTTCAGTGGGCTCTGGGGCATGGGGGCTGTCCCTAATTGCTGGGTACCTGAGGTGACTAGGGGAGGGGAGAGTGGTCTGGAGCGTGAGAGCCAGTGGAGGAGGTGGTTGGGGGAACAGCTCTGGATTGTTGGTTTGCATATGAAGAGCCCGCTCCCGGGCGAGTGGAACAGGCTCACTCTGGGAGGGACAGTCCCTCAAGGATCAGCAAGACCCCAAAATGTCAAAGCATCAAGAATACATAATAAAAAGATATAATTAATACAGTTCCCCAAATAAAAGTCCAGTTTCTGTGGTCAGAAGTGGAGACAGATACTGGGCAGGCAGAACAAAAGATATCCACTACAGAAATACAATTCCAGCCACTTCTGACCCCAAATTAGGACTCTGCTTACTCTGTCAGTTTTTATCCTTGCACTGCCAGAAGGACCAGCTTTCTTTGTCCCTGGGATGTACTGCACCCACAGGCCTCCCGGTGAGTCCCACCCTGGGACCCCTGAAAAAATGTCCAGGTCCCCTCCAGGCCTCTCGGCCCCCGGTTGCTGAGTCCACGGGGCCGCATCTGCCACTGCCATTCACTGCACATCACTGTCGGGGAAGCTGGCAGTTGACAGCGGCTGTAGTTCACACCTCCCCTGGCACCCGGCCCTCTTGTTTTATTTAAAACCGTCCGGAAACTGTGCCTGCTGTTGCCAGGAGCAGGGAGTGATCTGAGCAATTGAAGATGTTTGTCTTCAGGCGTTAACAGGACGTCAGTCATCTCCGGGCACCAGCGCGGGGCAGGGTGAGAGATGCGCGTCAGGGCGGCTGCCACTCAGACGGTTTTTGCTGAGAGCAGACTGTCAGGTTTTGAGACACTTTGAGCTGTTTAAGGGGCTTTGCCCCCTTTGTTCCCACATTGTTTACTGAGATCCCTCCCCAGGGAGCTGGGCCTTCATAGGAGCTGCAGATCAGAAGGTGCCTCCTTGTGGTTTTGTGGTTGATAATCGCATCAGAAGTGGGAGCTGACAAATGAAGGCGGCCTTGAGCCCGGGTCCTGGATTCCGTGGGGGGAGGAGGTCTCAGTGCGCCCCCTCCCCGAGCAGAGGCTTTGTGCTCAGCTCTCATCCTTCTCTTCTCTTTGGCAGCCCGTCTCTCTCCCATCGTATTCCAGCAGGAGCTTCTGCACATCCATTTAGCTGCTTGCAAATTGCTTGAACTGAGCGGTTTCTCCTGGCGCTGGACTGATGTTTGGGTTTTTGCAAGCGACTGTTTGGGATCATCTTGATCTTTATGGACCCAAAGAAGTTTGGTTTGCTACACTGATTTTCGCCCAAACCCACCCTTCCCGCAGCAGTCCCCGGTTCTGGAAGTGGCACTGCCATCCTCCCGGGTGCCGACGCCACCCACCTTGGAATCCTCCTTGCCTCCTCTCTTTCTCTTATTCCCACATCCCATCTGTCATCAAACATAGGCAATAGGCACTACCTTCAAAATACACCCAGAACCTGCCCATTTCTTACCACCTCCGCCTCCAGGCCCCGTCACCTCTAGCCTGAATCATCACAGTCACCTCCTCCCTGGTCTCCCTGCCGCCACCTCCACACCTCAGTCTGTTCTCCCACAGCAGCCAGAGGGAATCTGTTAACACCTCGGTGGTGTCCTGTCACACCTGGGCTCAAAGCCCTCCCCTGACTCCCATCTCATTTGGAGTAAAAACCAAATTGCCCAGAGGATGGCCATCTGCTCTCCTCAGTTCTACAGTCTGGTCTCCTGTGCTCTCTCCTGCTCACTCCGCCCCTCCTCACCCCTCACTGCTGTGCCTCAACGTACCAGATAGGTGCCTCAGGGCCTTTGCACAGGTAATTCCTTCTGCTTAGCCCAAATGTCACTTTCTCAGGGAGGCCTTCCCTAATTACTCAATTTAAATAATTTTAAATTAAAAAATGCAATTTCAAATTACACCTCCTCTTGGGCTTCCCTGCTTTGTTTTTCTCCATGGTGTGTCACCCTCTGCCATACTGTTTTTCTTGCTTATTTGCTTATTTGTTCTAGTGACATCTGTCACTAGAACATCAGCTCTGCGATGGTGGGGACGTGTGTCTGTTTTGTTTCCGTCTGTACCCCAGTGCCTAGGACACAGTAGTTGATCAATAAATATTTGTCAAATGATTGATCATATCACTCTGGCAACCATCTCACTGTCTGAATAAGGGTTTGGAATAGTTGATGACCCTTAAGAAAAAAATCTGGTGGATGTGTCTGAGTTTGAGAATGCACAAGGGTTCCCCTTTCGTCCTCAGCTCTCAGAGGCAGTTTGCTTGCCAGCTTGGTGGCTGAAGGCATGAGTAACTAATTACTCTTCCCTGTGAGTGAAAAGTTCCATTGATACTGTGTCTGCACATTCTTTGAAAATGTCAGTGGGAATGAATCATGGGCTGAGGGACTGCACCAAGGAGCTGGCCAGGATGACTAAATCTCCCCCTTGTGACGTCTCCAGAGTCAGAAAGGACCCCCTCCTCCCCAACACACGCAAAAGGGAAAAGCGATTTCAATGGGGACACCTGACCCCACAGGGGTGTGGCCACGCTGGGCCAGGGCAGTGTGGCACAGGTCGAAGGCTTGACATTTGGAGACATGTCTAACTGTCTGGCAAGTCACTCCACTTCTCTGAGTTCCCTTGTGTGGAAAGTGGGGACAATGTTCGTTCATTCAACCAATATTTATTGAACATTGAGTAGGGGCTGGAGATGCTGAGTGAGCCAGCCAGACAGGTACCTGTTTCCTGGGAGCTCACAGTTGGTAAGAGAAAGAGACGATAAACAGGTCAGGAAAGAGAGACAAGGCACGCACTATTGAGAATAAAACAGGATAGTGGCACAGATGGTTGGGGGCCAGCTGGGTGGGGGCCAGCGTGAGTAGTGCCATCAGGAGGAGGTGGCACCTGGGAGAGATCTGCAGGCAGGGAGCGAACTGTGTGGAAATCCTCGCGGAGGGGCCAGCAGGGGCAAAGGCTCTGAGGTGGGAAAACGCTCAGTGCATTTGAGGCCAGAGGCCAGCGTGGCTGGAGTCGGGGAAGAGAGAGGAGGGGACAGGGTAAGGTCAGGATGTAGACTGGGAGGGCGCGGTGAGGAATTTGTGATGTGTTCTACGGACCTAGGGAGGACTCAGTGACACGATGTATAGGGAGCTCAGGGCAGTAAAGGGGAGTCCTTCTCTCTGGTGTGTCATGGCTGGGGGAACCCAGGCCCCTGCTGGAGCGGGAAGACCTCAAGCCTGCAGACATTCCCGGAGAAAACCAGGCCATCCGTGGCCGTGCCCTCTGAGGAAACCGGAGAGGGGGCCCGGAGTGGGTGCAGGGCGGCTGGGCCGAGTCTGGGTCACCTGTCAACCTGGGCCGCATGGAGCCCTTAATCACCATTGCACGACAGCGGCGTGGTGGGTGGGAAACTGCAGCACCGCAGGGCCACATCCTCGGGGCCGGCCGTCGGAGCACCACAGCCTGGGGCTGCTACGGCACGGCCGTTACCAGCCTTTCTCATTTTCTGCTTCAGAATGGGAGGATCAGCCTGACGGCTGCTGTCCCACCAGGAGGGGGCGCCAGATCACTTTTTAAAAGTTGGTCCTTCTGTACACTTGTAGTTTTAAAAAACTTACCATTCTTTAAATCAACCTTTTTTTTTTTTAAATTAAAAACATACTTTAGTCTCATTTTTAGCAATGATATCCATGAAATCATAGATTTGCTGTGCTGGTTTAATCTTTTCCCTAACATACATGAAAATAAGTACATCCCGGCCACCACAACAGCAATCCTTTATACAGCCTTGCCTGTGAGCCAGGTATTGTTCTAACAGCTTTAGACGTATGGCCTCATTTAGTTCACGCAAGCACCTTAAGAGGTGATTGCTATTGTTATCCCTGCTCTACAGATGAAGAAACTGAGGCAGAGGCTACCAGACTTGCCCTGCGTCCCCTGTGGCTAGTGTTAGGGGCGCTTATAAGAGGTGCCTAGAGGAGTCAAATAGCAGAAACAGAAGGTACAATGGTGGTTGCCAGGGGCCGGGGCTGGGCAGGGGTGGGGTTAGGGAATGGAAAGTTGTTCAATGGATACAGAGTTTCAGTTTTGCAAGATGAAAAAGTTCTGGAGATCTATTGCACAACCATGTGAATATACTTACCACTACCGAACTGTACATATACATAAAACTGGTTCAGATGGTAAATTTTTTGTGTGTGTTTTTAACCACAATTGAAAACCGAAAAAAAAAGTAGGATAAAACTTTTCTTATTTGGGGTCCAGCCGTTTAGATATTCTTCAACACAAAATAAAGGGTCAAAGACAATGGGAAGAAAGGCACGCATGGTGGACTCCACGGCATGGTGTCCACAGGAGAGCACAGAAATTGGGGACCTTTCCATCTACCTTGTTACAGTCAGGCTCCCCTGGCGCCACTGCGAGGGCCCTTGTCTGGGAGAGGCTTCTGAGCAGGGTGGACCGTGACCTTGATCTAGTATGTCTTTTTTTCTTTTTTTAGTAAGTATGTGGTCACATTATCATATATTTATTTATTTATCTTTTTCCCAACAAATGTAATGAGATGCTACTAAATGTTGTGCCTTCAAGGATTAAGCTTCAGACTTATTTAAACTTTTCAACACAAACTTTTTAAAAAGAGATGTTTGCACAGTTCTAAAAAAAATCCAAACAATACAAAAAGATAAAGAGTAAAAAGTAAGTATCCTCCCCACCCCAGCTCTCAGACCCCACTTCTCTGCCCCAGAGCAGCGTGGCTATCAGCATCTTGTGTCTCCATCCCGAGATGTATGTGCATACACGAGCGTAGATGTAAGAGCATCCTTCTCTTAGATACACATGTGAGCATACCCTACACACTGTTCTACACACCATTTTTCACTTAACAATGTACATTTGAGATTGTACTAGATCAGTACATAGATAAACCTAATTCTGTTCAATGGCTCAATGACTATTCCACCGTATGCATGTACCATAATCAAATCAACCACTCTCTTTTGATGAAGGGGTTTTTCATTTTTTTGGTGCCATAGTTCCCTTTGGCAGTCTGGTGAAACCTATGGACATCTTCTCAGAAAAAATGTTTTGAAGTGCATAAAGTAAAATACATAGGAATACAAGGGAAACCAATTATACAGAAACACAGTTCCATCCATGGACTCTCTGGGAGTCTGTGGACCGTGGGATAAGGAACGCTAACTGGTTTCCAGTCTATTTTCTACTACAAACCACTGTAATGAACATCCTGGTACACATACCTACTTATTTCTGTAGGATAACTTTCTAGAAGTGGAATTGCTAGGGCAAAGACTTCAGCTTTCTACCATGAGAAAGCACTGCCTTTATGTAGAAAAAAGGGTATTTATAAAAATAATGCTAGTCCTAAAGGGTGGTAGTGAGGGTCAAATTAAACCAAAATAGAAGGACGCTTACCTTCTATTGGGATCAACAGGTGATGAACAGGTAGAAAATACTTAAGTGATAAATAATTTCACCGGTAAAGGAAATCAGTCCCGGTGATGTGATTAGAGGGACTGGGTGGGCAGGTGGGTGGTGGCTTCTTATAAAAGGATGGCCAGGGTAAGCCTACAGAGCAAGGGATATTTGAGTTTGAGGGCTGAAGAATGAGAAGTAGCCGGGCACGTGAAGATCTGGGAGAAGATTCTTTTTGTATTCTTCTCGTGCTTACATTATCCAAGTTTTGCGACTGACTTCTAATCTGAAGTTAAAACCATAAAACTGTTATGAAGAGAATCCAAATGCCTACATGACATAGAACAGATGTGAGAGACAGTGAACGATTTCCCCCTGCCGATATGGAAGGGTCCGGAGGAACATGGGGAATAAACTGGAGCCTTGGAGAGAACTTCTTATAGATGCATAGATATTTTAGGGTTCTTGCCTCCTTTATAGAACTTGACAAACCTGGATATTTACAAGCAGGGTCTGCGGGGAGAGCTCTGTCTTGACCCCAGGTTGTAGTTCTTGGAGAGACCAGTAGGTGGGGGTGAAGGACAAGGAACAGACAGCACTTCTTTGCAGCCTCCAACCCATTGCAATTCAGGTCAAGCCAATCACTCTGAGTCTAGCTCGGGAGGGGAGCGTATGAAAGCAGCTTCTGGTACGTTAATATGTCTGATTACATATGAGCTCCAAAGAAGGGAAATTAACAAACATTTGTGTAGCACCTGTTATGGGCCAAGGAATCTCAAAGGTTATTTGCATGCAAACCTCTTCTTCCTCCTTCCCACTACTACAGTCATGTGCTGCTTAACAACGTTTCGGTCAACGACGGACTGCATATACGACGGTGGTCCCATAAGATTAGTACCATACAGCCTAGGTGTGTAGTAGGCTATACCATCTAGGTTTGTGTAAGTACACTCTCTGATGTTCGCACAACGACGAAATCGCTTAACGACTCATTTCTCAGAACGTATCCCCGTCGTTAAGCGATGCACGACTGTATACAAATCAGGGGTCATGCAGGGAACATAAATGAGTCAGAAAGGCATGAGGTGTGAGAAACATGTGTCCTTTCATAATGTTTTTCATTTCCCCACTTTGGGTAAGCATCATAAGTACAGAGAAATATTTTTCTACTGTGAGAAAGATTACAGCCCTAAGAAACAGCGTCAGACACTCTGGCTGGAGGTCAGGCAGTAACTGATCTGTCTGCTGTTGGTGGGGACTCTGAGCCAAGGGACACCAAAGGCCCATCTGAAGGGGGCGGCTGTCATGCAGCTGCACCAGTGGCCGCTTGGCGGGAATACAGACCTGGTGCTGCCAAAGGTTCAACTTTTGCAGAGAAGCCAGAAATCTAGATTTTTATGTAAAGGTCCAGGTTTTAAAATGTTAATGACTCACAATACAATGTGTGGTCCAAATAAAACGCTTCTATGGGCTGGGTGCAGTCTCCATGCTACCAGGTTTCCACCTCTGGAAAAAGTTGCTGTTGGTCTCTTGACTTGGGAAGAAGAGAGTCCTCGTGTGTGTTGTCAGGAGCCTGGGAGGAGATTTTACATCTGTCATCTCATGTTACCCGTTATCTACTCTATGAAGCAGTCATTCTGAGGAAGCAGAGGTGCTCAAGTTCAAGCCACTGCTGTGGGGTCACTCGGTGAATAAAAGGCAAAGCAGGGTTTGAAGCCAGACCACACTGCCTCCTTCAGAAGTTAGTGACCAGGAAATCTGGAAATCGCCCACTCAAAATCGGTCTGCGTCATAGCAGCATTATTCACAATAGTCGAAAGATGGAAACAACCCAGATGTCCATCCACTGACGAGTGGATAAACAAAATGAGCTCCATTCGCACAATGGAATATTACTCAACTGTAAAAAGGAACGAAGTACTGACACATGCTACAACACGGGTGAGTCTTGAAAACATCATGCTCAGTGAAAGAAGTCAGTCACAAGAGGTGACATATTGTATGATTCCATTTATATGAAATGTCTAGAGTCAGCAAATCCATAGAGGTGGAAAACAGATTAGTAGTTGCCAGGGGCTGAGAGGAGGGAAAATGGGAGCGACTGCTTAATGGGCACAGGGTTTTTGTCTGAAGTGATGAAAATGTTCTGGAACTAGATAGTAGTAATGATGGTTGCACAACATTGTGAATGTTCTAAATGTCCCTGATTGTAAATCTTATGTCTATTTTACCATAACCAAAAAAAAGAGAGAGAGAGAAGCCATTGGGCGTGGGGGAAATCAGTCTGTGGACCTCCCTCTCCCTCCTCTTGTATTGAGACCGCCTTGTGCCAGGCTCGGTTCTAGGTTCTCTCCAGGCGTGAGCTCATTTCACCCTGATCACACAGCCATGAAGTGTAGACGGTGTTTCTCAAAGTTTACCGTGCACACTAGTCACCCGGAGATCTTATTAAGATGAAGCTTCTGTTGTAGCCTGTCTGGGTGGGGCCTGGGAGTCTGCATTTCTACCAGCTCCCAGGCGGGGCTGATGCTGCAGATCCTTGGGTCACACTTTGAGGACTGAGGGTATATTAAGGATGAGTAAAATAAGGCGCAGAGATCTTAAGGAACTTGGCCAAGTCCTACACTTTATCAGTGGCCAAGCCGACACATTTAACTCACTCAAGCCAACTAAACTCGGGGGTGGGGGCGGGGGGGAGGTGGGGAGGCCACTAACAGATGCTAAGCGGTTAGCTAATCACTAAGTGTTACTTTGTTTTGGGCCAAGGGTTTTTAACCCGGGGTTCAGAGCCAGAAAGCAGATGCTGCCTGAAAAAAAAATCTTTATTTCACTAACCTCTAACTGAAATGAGCATTTTCTCCTGCTGTGAATGCAGCAACAACTCTCTGAAGTATTAGCAGTGCCCATGACCAATGACAGTGTTCAGGACATGTGAAGGAATTCAGACACACCACTGCAAAATACGTCACTTTGGCATATTGACTATTTTGAGCTAAAGGCACTTGAGAAACAGCAGGTGCAAAAAGGACACTCGGATGGGCCGGCCCCGTGGCTTGGCGGTTAGGTGCGTGCGCTCCGCTGCCGGTGGCCCGGGTTCGGATCCCGGGTGCGCACCGAGGCACCACTCTTCCAGCCATGCTGAGGCCGCGTCCCACATACAGCAACTAGAAGGATGTGCAGCTATGACAGACAACTGTGTACTGGGGCTTTGGGGGAAAAATAAATAAATAAAATCTTTAAAAAAAAAAAAAAAAAAGGACACTCGGACCTCCCTTCTCCTTTCTGAAAGCAGGAGATAAATTCCCAGGTGAAAGATGCCCTCCCTATATCAGGAGGAAAGACACATTGTTATCACCAGAGACAGGGAGTCGGGCTGAGAGAAATCTGTAGGGACAGACCTTGTTAAAAACTCATCTCCCTTTAGTCTCCCCATATATTTCAGTTACTTTTCCACAATTGCTACTCTTTGTTCAACCTAGTGTGTGGGCGCTTAGACCTAGTAACTTCTTTGGGTCTTTGTTTCATTGTGAGGGCTCCTGTGTCTGCATAAAAAAAACAGATAAATTTTTATGCTTTTGTCTTGTTAATCTATCTTTATTACAGAGCCCGACTGAGAACCTAGAAAGGTAGAAAGAAAAAGATTTTTTTCCTCCTCTACACCTATCATCTATCACGGATAAAATCCCAGATATTTTCATATTACATTACACTTGCTGCGGATATCTTAAAACATCATTTATGTTCTGCAAAATCTCCAAGTTATGGTCATTATTAGCACCATTGCTCTATCTTGTTAATTAATGGGTTAATAAAGAAGCACATTTATTATTGAGCCACTGTTTTTACAAATATTTTGATAACTATATTTCAACATGATAGGTTTCTATTGCAACCCTATAATTTTATTTTATGCTGAGCAGGTGCCTGATGGTTAGGTGCCCTGTTTTAGGTGCTGGCTTTACATATCCTGCCTTATTTAACTTTCAAAATAGCTTTTTGAGGTTGGTGCTGTTATTAGCACCCCTTTTTGGCAAAGGAGGAATCTGAGGCTCTGAAAGCTACCTTGGCCAAGGTTGTCTACCTAGAAAGTTGGAGGCTGGATTTGAGTAATGCCTCTGCTGTCAGCCATTATGCTGCATTCCTACGAATGACAAGGGAAGTGTTGGTGTTAATGGCTGAGCCTACTAGAGGGATTCTCTTTAAAGGTCATGTAGCCTTCAAAGTTCAATAGAATACGTACTCCTGTTTCCCATTATTGCCATCAAAGATGGAGCCCGGACACAGAGCAGGCACCGGGAGGAATTCTGTGCAATCCCTGCCTCTTCCTGGCCGTCCCTGGGCAGCTGCATCTGATTGGTGGGTCTATGTCGTGTGCCTGTGTCCTAGCTGCAAAGGAGGCTGGGAAAGTGAGTCCAATGGTGGAGGCTGGCTCTGTACCATAAAGTTTGGGACTCCTCAATTTTGGAAGGAAGTTCAGAAGACAAAAAAACCAAATAAAACAAAAACAATTTCACTGCAAACCCTAGATATAAATCTGGTGGCTCAGGGGGTTATATCACCCTAGATATAACTTCTAGGGCAGCCCACAGGCAGTGGGCTCTGGTTGGCAGATGGTGGTAACTACAGCAATGCTCATTGAATACTTACTATGTGCCAAGCAATATTAGCACTTTACATGCAGTAAGTTATTTTATCTTCACAACAACCCTGTGAGATAGGTATTATCATTAGCACACTCATATTACAGATGAGGAAACTGAGGCTCGGAAAGGGGAAGGTGCTCCCTCTTAACCACTTTCAATTCATTTCATTTCAATGCCATTCATTGAATGTGCTTGCTGGGGCTGCTATGTTGACAGCCTTTGAGTGGGTCATGTACTCTCCACACCCTGCCACCCTCTACTATCTGATACTTCTCCCAACATGCAGGATGCCAGTCTGGGCTCTGTAGTCTTGCATTTGAGTTTCTGACCCCTGCCCAGTTCCTTGAGACCTTTGGGGTGAGGACAGAGGAGAAATGTCTTGCAGATTCATCTCTGTGGTTCTCGACCAGAATCTCTGGTATTGGGCCGAGGCATCCATAACTTTTAAAAGCCCCCAGAAGATTCCAGTGTGAGCAGGGCTGAGAACCTCTGCGTAGCTGAAGCAAGAATCTTGGGTCAGCTAAGCGTGGTGAGTCCCGTTACACACTGTCCACTCATGGGACCGGCTGTGCCTCTCTGCAGACGTGCACTGAGCAGGGCCCAAGGTCGGTGCTGGGATGAGCAGCAGAGCAGAGAGTCACAGCAGCTCACAGTGGGGTCTGGGGAGGCGGGTAGGGAGTGAGGAGAAGGCGGGCGGGAAGGGCATCCCAGGCAGAGGGAGCTCTGCACACGCCAAGTCTGGTGTTGACGAAAGAAACTGGAAGGTCTGGGCATGAGCCCTTGTGCCATCAGCTGTGGCTTGCCTGCGTCTGACTTCCCCTCCCTCTGCACGCCCACGGCCCTGGTTGCAGACCCCGACATGTCTGCAGCTTCCAGGAGAGGAGGGAGAGGTGGAGAAGGAGGAGGCTGGGGAGGAGGGTTGGGG